AATAACCACAGAGTTGTATCTGGTGACAAGCAGGTTCCCCTTTTGACCTTCACTATTTCTAGGACAAAGATTTTGTCCCATGTTTTCCAAAACATAATAAATATTCTTTATAACCAATTTTAGTTTGCTCAAAATTCAGCACTAAAAACTTAATATGTCCAGTTAGATAATACCTTTTTTATAGAAGTTTAAAAAAACTTTGTATATATTTTATTTAATTCTCCAAATATGCTCTTAAAATACTCGATATAGGAAAGTCTTAGCCTCACACAGAGAGTGGGGATGGGATGACTCAACTATCTCAAATTTTCCCCCAAATTTATAAATAAACCTAATACTACCTTCCAGAAAAGTAATATCTATATTACTTTTCAAAGAAATATTCAAAGAAAAAACTTAAAAAAAAATCATTTAGACTTTAAAACCAGTGGTGAAATACTTTCCTGTGAACTTCAAATGAAGATAATACAGAAAGATTTAATAATTGTTTAAAATTGACAAGCTGATTGCAAGAAGTTACGATTAATTCATGAAAGTAAACAATATAATTTGGTTCAAAGATAGGTTTACATTAGGTGGAAGCAAAACAAAACACAAAAGTAAAAATAAAGTAGATCTGTCAGAACTCATAACTGCAGTAGTTCCAAAAGAAAGGTCCAGATAGATTCATATAATTAGCAAATGTAACAATTAAAAAAAGAGCCTTATTTAAGTGACTGTGTGTGACTCATATGGAGAGAAATTTGACATCTAATTCAACTACATATGTATTTACTCTTTAACCCAGCAATCATACTTCCAGGAATTTACCCTAAAGCTACTCCTCCACAAATAATGCCCATCCAATGAAAGACTGAATGAAGCATGGTCCAACCATACAATGCAGTACTATGTAGCCATTTAAAAAAAAATCCATAATTATAATAAGAAAGATGCCTATGAATGTAGAATGATTTCTGTGATATAATGTTAAGTAAACAAAAAAGCAAGATACAAAAGAGTAAATATGCTACTTTATCTGTAAGAAAGGGAAATATATACAAATTTGCTTATATCTACAAGATGAAACACACAAACAACGAGCCAGAAATGAATATATATTGTTATCTATCAATGTTGGTGGAAAGACAGTAGAAAATATAGGAATGGGAGCAAGATTTTGTAGTATAGTCTTTACATCTTTATATACCATTGAGTTTTGAATCATGCAAATATTTTTTTACAATTTCAAAATAATAAAAAGGATTTTAAAAAATCAAACCTTAACATTAAAAATAAACAGAAACAGGCCGGGCGCTGTGGCTCACGCCTGTAATCCTAGCTCTTGGGAGGCCGAGGCGGGCGGATTGCTCAAGGTCAGGAGTTCAAAACCAGCCTGAGCAAGAGCGAGACCCCGTCTCTACTATAAATAGAAAGAAATTAATTGGCCAACTGATATATATATAAAAAATTAGCCGGGCATGGTGGCGCATGCCTGTAGTCCCAGCTACCCGGGAGGCTGAGGCAGAAGGATCACTGGAGCCCAGGAGTTTGAGGTTGCTGTGAGCTAGGCTGACGCCAAGGCACTCACTCTAGCCTGGGCAACAAAGCGAGACTCTGTCTCAAAAAAAAAAAAATAATAATAAAATAAATAAAAAAAATAAAAAAAAAATAAAATAAACAGAAACAAATACATCTAACTATGTAACTCTGACTAGATACCCTTAATGGGCTATATTCTGAATACAAAAACAACAGTAAAACAAATGTTGAACTTTACTAAGTAGTCTGCTAACGGTAGTTGTATTAGTATTGCTTTGCTAAAACTAGTTTGTTTGCATTGTTTGATAAAGCAAATAATTATTGTGGAGAATCAGGGTTTGCACTGTGAGAGAAGGGAGATACAAACATAGAGTATGAAATGAAGAACCTTGATGTGGTGGACTTGAATTGGAGCATTGAGAATAAATTCATGATTTCTTAACACTATTTTTAGAAAAGGCCTAGAAGTAATGATACCCCATTAAAAATGAGCAACTCCAACACTTATATCTTGGTTTCTAAATCCCATTTCCCATTAAAAAGAACCAGAACTTCTTAAAGAGATGGCTGATTACAGGTCTGGGCCAGGAAGATACAAGATGAACCTGGAAATCTTGGTGTGCATGAAGCGAGAAAGGTCTCAAAACACTAATGAGATCATATCAAAAGGACATAGGAAGTAGCTTGAAAGGGTACCACTGATAAATTTAGGACAATTTGAGCATGAAAAAAATAGTGGCAGAAACTGATTATAACCCACTAATTAAAACTTAATTGGTTATTTCAAATTAACGTTATGTGTTAGTTTAATTAATAAAATCATGAATTTCCTTCCCTGTTCCCCAAAACGGGGAAGGAAAGGAAGCACATTTTTGCAGAAAAATCTGGCTTAATAAATTTAGAAGGAATAATAGTATTAGAAATCACCATTTTCTGACATCCATTAAAATAAATTCAAGCAAGTATATCAATGGTTACTGAAATCACTGGATGAAAAGTTATTAAAGAAGAAAATATACAGATTAATAATCACTACATAGATTATTTATGAATTACAAAGGGAACATATTCCTTTACAATGGGGAGAGGTGTCAAACTAAACCTTAATATGTTCAAATTTAACAAAACCAATAATGAAACAACCTGATGTTATTGCAACCTGATGTGGTACAATAAATAAACATCAACACCCACACTGCCCTCCTACCAAAAATGTTTAACCTAAATCTAATCATGCAGAAACAATCAGATGAATCCAAAATGTAGGATATTTCATGTGACAACTGATATAGATTTCCCCAAAAATGTCAATGTTATTTAAAAAAAAAAAAATCCAAAATGACTAAAGAGGTTTAACAACCAAATATATATGTGAATTTTGATAGGACTTTGTATTGGAAAAAATAGGTCTATATGACATTTGGGGTACAATCATAGAAATTTAAATATGGGTTGTATATTAGATGATACTACAATATTGAATTAATGTTAACTTTTCTTAGGTTTGATGCTGGTGTTAGTTATATAGAAGAATGTCCCTATTTGGAATACTTCCACATAGAAAGGAGAAATACCATGGTACCTATAAATTTCAAAAGCTTCAGTAAATGTGACTAAGTGAAGAGTATAAGGGTGCTAATTGTACTATTTTTTCAACCTTTCTGTAGATCTGAAATTTTGTAAAATAAAAAGGTAGAGAAGAAAAAATGAGTACATAGGATGGTTTGAGGAAGGAATTGAATTGCTAACAGTTATTAAAAATTCCACCATTTTATTTGCACCCTATTAAAATTATGCCACCTTATTAAAACAACTAAACCTGTCTGACCAAATTTTAACCTTCAACTTATGGAATCTAACAATGCCATCCCAAAAGTGGTAGACAAGTAAATAAGTCAAAGTCCAAGCAATACATTTTAGTAGGTCTTAGCTGCTCTGGTAAGAAATTAAATATATTAATCTACACAAACATTTGCTGAGTGCTTGCTACACTTCAGCCAGAGGTACAGAGATCAGTAACAGTTCTGCCAGTTTACTTGGTAGGGTACCTTATCAACTTTTCAGAATATGAACAAGGTCTATCCATAAAATGTCTCAAAACTATCTGATGGATTTTGTTGCCGCTGTTTAGAAAAATCCCAAAAATATGAAAGTAGTCAATGTTCTTATGTATATTCACCCTCTAAACCTAGTATTCCATTACTGTTTTTGAAAAATATTAGCTACTTTTCATACTTCAAACATGCATATGTCATGCAAGTAAATAATTTTTTAAAAGTCAGCTGAAGAATCTTTGACAAAAATAATCACAAAATGTCTGAAAAATGAAATCACATTGGTAGTATCCTACCCTTTTTTATAATTCTAACTTATTTTGAAGGTGCTATTAAATATGCCGCATTAACAGGGTACCTTGTTGTTCTGAGATATTTGAACACTATTCATTTTTAAACTACTTGTCAGTTTAACATTTTAGAAAATCAACTTTTTTACTTACAAGTTGATTCCAGGCAATCGATTTCTTGGCACAAAAACACAGATTTTTTTATGAATATATAAACAAAACTTTTCATCCTTAAAATAACTGAATACTAATATAAGGCTAATTTACTTTTAAACTAATAAAGGCAATGAAGTAGGTTAGCTACTAAAATGAGTTATTATAGTTATCGATACTTTTTTACTAAAATACTTATCTCTTCAGTATGCTATAAAATAGATTTACTTTATTAAAAACTATCACAACCTAAAGTATACTAAACATAAATTTAGTTGATCTCTTTCAACTGTTGCAAATTTTCAAACACACATTTTACATACTTGTAATAAATGTGTCAGATAATCATGCAACTGAGGCACTATTTAAAAGTCACATGTCAATGTACTGGTTAATTAAACACAGTTACCTTAACCATTCTCTACTCCTTCCACCTGGTGAGTTGTAGAATATTTGGGTGTTTTCAATTTTTCACTGATTTGTGGCAAGATATGTTTTATTTCTTATTGCTACAATTCCTAACATAGTGTTTTGCATATTCCATATATAGTATTTTGCACTTCACACATACCTTTATGAAGTATATTTACCTTTCTATTCTCTGGGTTATTTCCTTAGTGGTGTTTTTCAAATAGATGGACAAAATATATAAATGATTTCACTTCTATTTGCCCATCAGATTGTTCTCCAGAAAAATTCAATTACCCATTAACAAAATAAAAATATATTCATTTCACCACATTCCCCAAACATTGTGTTGTCATTTGTTTATTTTATGCTGTTAATCAGTTCTTGTGTGAGGATGTACATTTAGCTTTGTAAAAATATTTCAATATAAACTATCCCCCTCATATCTTGTCAATAGGAATCTTTGTAAGTTCATACTTTTATCATTCTTACTCTTGACATTTCAAGTCACCTTATCATACCAGTTAAAATAGGTATCACAAATTTACTTAAATTTATTAAAGTGTATACTTACAATTCCAATATCAAAATGATTTCACTTGTATTTTCGTAGACTTCATGAAGATTAATAACTCGGGGACAAGACTTTGCCAATTCAAGCACAGCAATCTCATGCAAAATCTCTGCTCGACAGTCCTGTCCTCTTCTTCTCTTTTTGAGAAATTTTGCAGCATATTCTTGGCCAGTAGATTTTGATATACATTGTCTAACCACAGCAAATTTTCCTCTGGGGGGAAAGTTGAGGACAACTAATGTTAACTTTTCCATAGAGAACAATATTGGTATACTACAGGTACTATTATATATCCAACTTAAAGTCAATTCTTTCAAACATTCATGTCATTAGGAATTTATCTTTGTTCTCTAAACTGAATCAAATATTATACACACTTTTATAAAGTTTACAGTGATGTCACTTAACAATGCAAATGGCGAACTATAATAACAGAGTAAGAAGATCTACTAAGAAAATTAATGGTTATCAACAGCCATGTATGAATACACTCATTAATGCCATATTTATCATTTTAGAAATAAATATGTTTTTAGCTTTCTCCAATAGCAGTACTCGGCACCTCAGCCAAAATCTTAAAAGACACCCAAAATTAGGGTTTCTAGTGGAATATGTGTGTATTATAAGTTTACAGTTTCCCAAAATTTACTTTCATAAAGGCTTAAAGTTATTCTGAGTCAGACTATTTTGAGAAATAAAAACTATTCTACTGACTGCCTACCTAGAAAAATGTACACATGTCCTTAAATGTGTTACGTACAATCCCAAATCTCAACACCTAACCATAAATCTAAGCCTGAGTCTAGGAGATTCAAAATTAAGGACATCTATCCTAAGGTTCAAATTACTCTCTAATTTCTGGTGCCAACAAATCAGGTATAAATCAAGGATCTTCACAGAGTAACCTTTGTCCCATAACTCCTCTCACTCCAATTTTCCTCATGATATACTTCTAACACAGCCCATTAGGTTCTCAGTAGGGAAAACAAAACATGGTTGTTCAGGTATGGCAGGGTGGGGAAGGGGAGAATAAATTGCTTGACTATAATTTACTTGTTATTCTCAAGGGCCAAGATGATGAAGATTCTACTCTTTATTTCCCAAATTTCCTCAAAATTGGTGCCAATAAAAAAGTACTGGAAACCAAGCTATAATTTGTCTCTTCTATATTATAAATTAACTAAATAAATCTGTGTGTACAAACCTTAATTCTTTGGAAGCAGTTTTAAGATTTGAGAATGTTTAATTTCAACTATAAAGTATTTTCTCACTGGGGTTTTATAAATTTTATACGGGATAAACTGAGTCACAGTAAGATTAAATAACTCATGAAAGGTCATACATGGAATTGGAGTGCCAAGAATTAAACTGCAGAATGTGAATTCCTAACTTTCTGTCCTAACCACTACAAAGCAATTCTTCCTTTTAAAATCGTTTTTTTTAAAGATGTGCAACTCACTTCTGCCAATTCTTACTAAGATTTAGAAGCAAAAATTTGCCTAAAACAGAAAGGAATTTTGGATTTTACAAAGAAATTCACCTTGTAAAATTTAGGAAAACAAACTAGCTAGACCAAGAAAATTGTGCATCTGAAAAAAACATAGTTTATCAATTGTGATAATGTGGTTCTGCTATAATTTTATTATATCTAGAAGCCAGAATTCTCTCAGAAACAAAGAGCAAAATTAAATAATAACAGTTTTTATTTAATTGTTTCAGGTTATCACCAAAAGTCTTTCTTAAACAAGTATAGTATTCATTAATCCAGGGCAAAGGTGACCAAATGACATTGGTAACCATTATTTGTCAATGTTTACCATCAAGCAAAAGCTATATGAGGGCAGGAACCATGTCTGTCCCAACTATTACAGTAATTATAAAATCTACACTTTGCTAACACCTAAGAGGATCTGTTGAATGAGTGCCATAATTATGTACTTTGCTATTTTGCATTCTGTACTTAAAGTGTTTGTATTTTTTAACATTTGAGATTCCAATACAATATTTATATATTTATATACATTCATATACTGTGAAATAAGGTAAATATTTTTACCATAATTATCAGCTGACTTAAGAAAAACACAGTATCTGTTTTCCATTTTAAAATGTTGGCTGTAGTTTAGAACTATCAAAATTAAGTAATGTTCCTGTACCAAATTTAATAGAAACATTTAAGAAAACGTAAAGCCCTTAAAAATAACAATGAAGTCATACCCTAGATAGGCAAGGCTGACTAGATTTCCTAGCAGCAAAAAGGTCCAGAAGTTACCCTTCTGCATTCTAGAATACACAATAAAATGTGAAAGAAGGGGGGAGGGTAAGCCACAAAGGAAGCTGACGTTTATTTCTGAATCTGCCTCACCCTTCTAACCACAAGAAGTCCTATGAAACTCTGCCTCAGTTGGGGGAGGGGTGGAAAAAACATACCCAACATTTTAAAAAACAGGAACAATGCAAGTTTTTTTAGAATAGTCAAAAATGAACTGTTAGCTTTTACATATTTTCCTGAAGTTTGCTAAAGGAAAATAAATTCTTAAACATTAACACCTCAAAATTAATAAAAAACAGTTGATTCAGAAAGGTAACTTTGTAGTTCACAACATGCTAGAATTATAGATTCATAAACTTCAAAATGTGTAATCCTCAAGAGAAACAAGATTATGATTTTAATTTCCATTTCACAAAAGTATAGGATATTAAAAATTGGTAACAATATTGAAAGAACTTTCAGCAAGTTCTTGGCAGATGAAAAGTCATGATTTCTAATTTATCAAAGTCTATTAATTACATATATGAATATTTACCATGTGACTTATTAGCCCATATCAATTCGAAGAAAGATATTACTTAGATCTCTTTCTAAAGATACTAGAAAATGGGATATTAGCAATCAGAATTTGTTTGAATCAAATTCTATCATGAGTTTTTGATCTAAAACTTTAAAAAGTATATCTGATTCAACTTTATAATTGTTACTTATGATGGCACCTTATTTATAAAATAATTTAGAATTATTAATATTGCCCTCGTGAAAGTTTAAATTCTGCAAAACTCTCAAAAAAATGTAAAACTTATATTTTATTTACTTTTCTTTTTTTTTTTTTTTTTTTTTTTTAAAACCTTTGTCACTCTTTGATGTATTTTATTTAAAATGGTAGTACTAAATGGTCTCATGATATCAGGTCACTCCTTGGCCTTAAGGAATTTACATCTTGGTTAAGCCAAAGCAGAATTTGTACATGATTTTACTTACAGAACACTCATTCTTTATGACACAGAATTATACTATAAAATATGAGTTCATTCTTTTTGTATAATTCAGGAATGGAAAGATGGAGAATTTTCCTATTTCTTTTTTCAGCCCAGCATATCCTATGAATTTTAAAAAATATTTTATCTAACAAAAACTTACATAGCACTATATTAAACACTTTAAAAATATTAACTAACTTGATCTTTATAACAGTTACATAAGATAGATAGAATTATCTTCATCCCCACCACTTTTCAGATGAGGAAACTACAACACCTAAGAGGCAGAGTAATTTAATTGAGGTCACACAGCTAGTAAATGGTGGAGCCCAGACTTGGACTGGGCCAGTCTACTACGCTAAGCTGCCTCTTCCCATGAACAGCCTCAAATAAAAACCAAGACCTTCTATCAGGCACTCTGAAGCTAAGTGGGAGGTGTAAGTTCACTAAACCCTCCACAGATTTGATTTTAAAGTCAGTTAAGACTAAATTCTAGATAACAGCAACAAAGATGATGACTTCCTTCTTAATTATTGTTAAATAAGGATTCAAAGTGAGTTTAATAGAACTACAGAAACAGAAATCCAAATTTGAATTTAAACAGCATACACGTCAGAAAGTTTCTTTACCTTCCTAGCTCTTTAGATGTAAGTGTATAGAAATTATGAAAGTTTTCCACTTTCATTGGAGTTTGAGGAGTTGTAGTTATCAAGCCTGAAATACTTCGGCAATCGAATCTTCTTCTTGACATGTTAGATGATTTCCAGATATGCTTCTTTAGTCGCTTATTTTTACCTATTTGAAAAAAGAGAAGAAAGAATATATAACAAATGTAATTTTGAGATGTTATCTCAGGCAGGATGTGCAAAACATTATAAAGCTCCAAATAAGCTACAACTCAAAAAAAAAAAAAAAAAAGATTTAAAGAACACATTCTACTCACAAGGAAAAAACAAAAAGTACATAAAATAGTATCACCTCTACAGCACTTGAACAAAGTTACTGAAGTTACATTTCAGGGTAAAATTACTGTAAAAATTCTCCCAAATTATTTAAAAAATAGTTGTGATAAAATTCTATGCAAGTGATGCAAGCCATCACTTAGTTTTATTGGAAAACTTTCATTAAAGTTTGACTTTCATGTAACTAGGTAATTTAACATAACAAGGTAATGATTATTCATTTTAAATTAAATTTCACATAGCCAAAGAAATTTGGTGGTGAATGCACATATTGTGAATTATATTATTGACACGCGAACAACTACAAGAAATAGAACTTGTTCCATGGATTGGCTGTGTTTCAATACTAAATTCAGAAACTCTCATAGGTCTCAGAGCCTCTCCTTTGGCAGAACCTAGCACAGAGCCTGCTATGTATGAAAAGCTCAATAATTTTGTTGCATATGTGACTGACCATACATAAAGCCTTATTCTGGAGTTCTAAGCTATATCTGAAACTCATATTTATCTGCAACTTAGTGATATTTACATGCATTCAGTTTTAACATCTAAACTACTTTCACATTTACTGAATTCATATAATAACAGCCTATATATTTCAAGACATTTCTGACTTATTGCTATGCCTACCTAAGACGAGATCAAGTATTATTCTTCCAACACCCTCCTATAATAACCCCCTACGTGTTTATTCCTTCTCTGAAACTTTTTTCCCCTCCCTGTATTTCCTACTTAACATCTACTGCTTGTGATCTTCCTAAATTCAAATATTCTACCTAGCAAATAAGCCGTGTGATTAGAGTTTAATGTTTTCAGTTTCTATATTTTTTCTTCTTGGTTTTTTTCTCATGTCAGTAAAACTGTTTTCTCTACATCCTTCAATCTTCCGGGAAACAAAACTATAACCAGTTTGGGGGTCCATGTCTAAGGGTCTGAGGGTAGCAGTATAGCACTCTGAAAATAACATTTGGACTGAAATACACTTGGGTCTGAATGCCATTTATCCATAATATCAGCTATGAGACCTTAATTAAATTAAAGTTTGCTACTGTTACGCTGAATTGTGTCCTCCCCAAAATTCATATGTTGAAATTCTAACCCCCAGTTCCCTCAGAATGTGATTGCCTTTGGAGATAGGGCCTTTAAAGATGTGATTAAGATAAAGATGAGGTCATTAAGGTAGGCCCTAATCCAATATGACTGGTATCCTCATAAGAAGAAGAGATTAGGACCCAGAGACACACTGAAGAAAGACCATGTGAAAATACTGGGTAAAGACAGCCATCTACAAGCCAAGGAGAGAGCCTCAGGAGAAACCAACCCTGCAGACATCTTGATCTCAGATTTCTAGCTTCCAGAATTGTGAGAAAATAAATTTCTGTTAAAACATCTAGTCTGTAGTGATACGGGTTTTTTTTTTTAATGAAGTATTTAAAATGTTTGGGAAAGGATACAAATGCCATAGAAAACGCTTGCTCTTCCAAGTCTTATTGGTTGGCCATATTTCATTTAAATTAAAAATAAATATACCTCACCAATCTAGATATTAAAAGAAAAAAAAATTAAATTAAAAATAAATAAAACATCATAAACATGGTCCCTTCTTTCCATTCCCAGTTTATGCTCTCACTAGCACTAGATGGGAGGGTTTATTACTACCTTGACAACAACTGTCCCATTCAGGCTTTTAATTTGGATATTCTAAGTGTGACGAAGATGAAGTGGAATTTTGTCATGATTTACTTTGCATTTCCCAGTCCTTCAATTCTGCTACCTCTAAGTATGGATGATGATAGAATCACTTTTTCAGAGCTCGATCGATTTAAAAATTAAAATAGGCTGAACTCATGTAAAATGACATGATTATATTATATAAATCATTCTGGGAGTAAAATATAAATGAAATAGAAGAAAAGCTTGGAGAACTATGGCAGAATGTTAACAGTGGTTATTTTGAATGGTGGGATTATGAGCAGTATTTATAATTTCCTGTGTTTAAGTTATCTATATTAAGAAGGTACTACTTTAATAATCAACAAAAATGTACATCTTTGTGTAAAAAAGATGGCTGTGACTTCTCCACAAAATCTAAAATATTATTAGTCATTCCACTAATTTAATTCCTTTACAGGGGAAAAAAAAATGGTTGTGAATTTGTGACTAGACCTTAAATGCAGAAACTCACCCATTTGTAACAGCAAAAGGTATCTATTTACAGGGTAAGGGTTTAGTCAGCCTGAAGTTTAAAAGCCATTATGGTTCAGGGTTTTTAAGGCTTTAACATTTTCTCTGCATTCATATATTCACTATCCAAATCATAGGTTAGTTTTTATGCAGAGACCATATAAGCATTTAGGGTAAATTCTAAGTAAGAATTAATGCCTCTTTTAATATTGCATAGAAATATTCTGAATTAAGTTATAGTTATAATTCTATACAATAACAATTTGTTACCTTGACATATACCTTTATTATTAGTATAACTTGTAAAAACCAAATTCGTTCTGGGACTCCTCTAAAATAATACAAAATGTGATATCTAAATACACTAAATTAAATCTAAATTAAATTTGGCAGTGTCTATTACTAATATTTAGTCTTATTAGGAAAAAAAAGGGGCATAGATTTTTTTAAAAAAGAAAACTGAAATGAATAATCAACTTGCTTGACAGTATTTCCTAATGTTAGACATTGTCTTGTGTTTGATTTTTTTACCCTAACAAATTCTATTACATTCACATGTCATTATAATGGATGAATATGCCCAGGGGTAATTGTATGACTATAGACGTAGCTGAAAACAGCGTAGCTGAAAACACTGTTTGGCAAACAGCAGTTTTTAAAATATATGTTACTATAAAAATCATTTTGGAATTATGATACATTTAATTCTGGTTCTGAATATACTGGCAGACAAGACTTAGAAAAAGAAAGAATACATTTCTGAAAACAGAACCCCAAGCTTATCTGCTTATTGCTATTACATACCTATAACACAAACTGCTTTAGACATCCATATAGCATTTCTTAAGTTCATTTTCCTTCCATTTACTGCAATTGAACCAGTTGTCGGAGACTAGATATTTTTCTAATTCCTCTCCTTTGGCCAATTTTGCATATAGTAGAACATGAATGTCATCTTTGCCCACCAAACCCTCTACAAATATCTGGTTGCCCTTCTTATAAAGTACATGAAAGTATATCAGCCAGCTCTCTGTCTCTTCTTGCATCTTCTTAAATTCCCCACCAAATTCCCTTCAACTCCAACAAAAAATCCCCAGACCTTTTCTTGTCTTCTACCACAATTCATAGACCTATAACTGATTCTAAATTACCAATGTCTCACTCCATTTGAAATCTGTTTTATAACATTTTATAACATTTTATCAGGCTATACCAATTTGGAAAAAAGAAAAAACAGTTCTAAACTGGGTAGTCACAAAGTCTGGAGACACACATAAAATTTTATCATATATTGTAATGTAATGCCAATGGACCATTTATTTTGTATTTACCACTCTTTCCAAATAAGGTGTCCACTTGTTTTTATGTAAATACTTACTGCAGTTTAAAACATCACTATTTTAAAACCTAACAAAAATATGAAATTCAGATATGTGTCCTAGCCTATCAAGGATAGGTAAATCTAGATTTTCACGAACTAAATTTGAAAGGCAATGGAAAGCAAAGTAAGCCAGAGATTACTGAGAAGCAACTCCTCTTTTCTAGATAGGTATTTACTGCTACCAAGTTTTCTCTAAGAAACCAGGATTAGAGATTTATTTACACAGCATCCGACAAAAGTAAAGGAAGAACTTTCT